ACACACACACACACTATATATACACTATATATATACACACACATAAAATGAAAGATAGAAATCTAGGACACTTATTGAAATAATTGGGAAAAAATTATTTAAAATAAACTAATAATTCAGCTTTGTTGATGGCCATGGATGTGAGCATCATTATTACTATAATTTCAAAGATAACAGAACTGAAGCTGAAAAAATAATTTTCTCATGTAGCTATTCAGTGTTTAAGCACAGTGACCTAAAACTAGTTACTATGTGATTCAAATTCTCTACTTCGGCCATTCTACTTATCTTTTCTAGGCTAATGTATGAAGGAAGACTATGCAGTTGCCCATGACCACCCTTCCCCCCCCCCCCAAGCTTTATCACTTCCTAAGAAACTTGATAACACCTAAGTTGGTCATATCAAAGACCAGACCAGACAATGGATCATGATAAGAGTCTGACCTTGATTGAAAAAGCTAAAACCTAACTTAAATAACACACCAAATTCCGAGAAGTACCATCTTAGTCCTCCCTAACACCCCTATAACAAAGAAACCCCCCCTAAACTGCTCAGGTGCCATTTGGACCCTGTTCTTATGCTGTGTGGCCAGGTCACTTGGTGTCCCTCTCATACAGCACAATAAAGGCCTGTTTGTTTCTTGGGACCCATTTATTTCTTTATTTCTCTCCTTCACACCCTCATGCTTTTTTCTTTATCTAACAATATAGATAGCCAGATGTAAGTCAGATAAATTTAGTTGACACTTGCCAACTGACCTAAGAGTAAATATGCAACAATAAATATCATCCCTTATAATCTGACTTGGTTTCCACAGATGACCCCAAAACGAACATCAACATGATGGGAGGAAATGACACATCAGTAAGAGATATGATACTCCTTGGACTATTTCCTGAATTGGAAAACATCAGTATCCTTATATATACGATCTTCCTGAGCTATATTATTGCTCTTTTTGGAAACATCATATTGATTTTATTAATTTGGGTGGATTCTCGACTCCATATCCCCATGTATTTGCTTGTTAGCCAACTTTCTGTCATGGACTTAATTCTCATCTCCACAACTGTTCCAAAGATGGTTAGTAACTTCTGGGTGGAAAGTAAAAATATCTCGCAGGTGGGCTGTGGAATACAGATGCTGCTTTATATAACCATAGCAGGTTCTGAATGTATTCTCTTGACTCTGATGTCCTATGATCGCTATGTCGCTGTCTGCAACCCACTGAGGTACTCAGTCATCATGAACTCCAGAGTCTGTGTGCAGATGGCTGCTTTCTCCTGGGTTGTAGGATTTCTGAACTCCCTGGTCCATACGGTGTACATTATGCATTTACCGAGGTGTGGCTCCAGGGAGATTGATCACTTCTTTTGTGATTTCTTAGCTATTGTAAAACTCTCCTGTGAAGACACATCTATGTATGAGATGTTTTTCTTTGTCTCAGGTATAGTGTTCATCCTTATTCCCTTTGCACTCATTCTGACCTCCTACAGCCTCATTTTCATGACTGTCTTCCATATGAAATCTGAGAAGGGGAAGAGCAAAGCCCTAGCAACCTGCTCTTCTCATCTCACAGTAGTGAGTCTTTATTTGGGTTCAGGCTTCTTTGTCCTCATAGTAGCTCCAATTATGTACTCAGGAGAGAAGAGCCAGATTGTCTCTTTGTCCTACGTTCTCACCCCTATGCTAAACCCCATGATCTACAGTCTGAGAAACAAGGAAGTGCTGAGGGCTCTAAAGAAAGTGCTGTCTGTGAGTATAGGTTCTCAAATAAGAGACAGAAGATATTAAAGCTTTGACAATATATTGCATATCAGCCTTTATTAAATGTACTTAGGGTAAGTAATAGAGCAATTATCATTTAAAATCTTGAAAATTAGTGGACTCAAAATTAGAAAATAACAGGTAACAGTCATGGAATACTGTTATATCTCACTAAAATGAGTTACAAGATTTGATTAGTAAAAAGCAAAATTAACACACAAGTTCTTAAAAATGAATTTTGCTTATATGTTATTAATAACATTCTCAGTTTCTACTGTGCAACCTAATTGAATAGATATTCATTTAGGACACATAATTCAAAATACTACAACCTATACAAATTTAATCACTTAAAATTATAATACATATTGACGTAATGGTATGCCATCTAATGAATTCTGATTTATAGGAAGCATAGGAGACAAAATAAAAATGCTTCTTTTGGATCCCTGGGCTGGAATCTTTATTAAAGTATCTTTCAGGTTTTTTTCACCTTTTCTCCTGCAAAGTTGCTGGTGGGCTGTTGTTTTTGCTGATTGCCTTCAAGTCAAGCATGACTCATTTATCAAAGTTCATAGAGTTTCCGGAGGCGTGTTATTTAGGAAGTAGATGCGACTCCTCCTTCCAAGTACCTACTACCAAATTTTGGGTTAGCAGCAGAGAATTGTAATTATTTTTATTTATGTTTACGTTTTTGAATTGTGATTTGAGTGAAAATTTACAGAGCAAATTCGTCTCTATTAAACCATTTGTAGAGGCTAGAAAGATTATGCTGTCCGAGCTTCTGAATTCTGGTGGTATTTGTTCTTCAGCTTTATTTTGTTTTCCAATAAAACTGTAAGTATCACTCAGATGTCTATATAGGCATGTTGTTGTTTGTTGTTGTTATGCGCCGTCGAGTCGCCTGCGACTCATAGCGACCCTATGTACAACAGCCCTAAACTCCGCTCTGTCCTGTGCCAATCGCACTGTCTCTG